CTCCTGCCCCCTCCCCCCGCGCTACCTACCGTATCATCTGCATGAAGGCCCAGTTGGGGTTGGTCACGTCTCCTGAGTCGACCTTCTGCTGCATCAGCTCTGCCTGCCTCGCCCGCCGATCCTCACGGTTCTTCTGCAGTCGCTCGATCTCCGACACCACGTTAGACTTCCTCCGCGCAGCCGCTACAGGGGGGCGACACCGCACAGAAGACGCGTCAGTACGGGAGAGTGTACGGCGGTAGTAACACTAACAGCGCCAGTCTACACGTAAGCGGCAGTTAGAGAAGCTATGAACACCCACAGCAAGATGTTTCGCACCACAGACTACCACGACAAATGGTGTCCTTGTACATGGTTTTAACATCCTTTTGAACTTTTAACCAACTTTTAACACTGACCATAGTGCTAACTATAATCTGTCAGTACAACAGACAGCACCGAGAGAGTACGGTGGTACTAACACCAACTTACAACGCTGAGCTAGTTAACACGTTAGCAACAGTCAAATGCATAAAAGTCAAACCTATGAATACCGTTACCCAACGACAAACGGTATCTTAATCGACACTGATTTAAGAACTTTGTATACACGGGTTTTTCTTTTGAACTTTTAACCAACTTATAACACTGACAATAGTGCAAACTATAATCTTAAACCCAACACTAATACTAGCCGTAACCTTAATCATAACACTGACCCTAGACCTAAACTTATACCTAACAGTGACCCTAGGTTCAAACCCCAACACTGATCCTAACACCTACACTAAACCTAAGAGTGACAACGACTCTAACAAGAAATCTACTCTAACCATATCCTTACCTAAGGGTAGGACACAATTCAGTTTAGCTGTAGCGTTTAGGTTAGGTAGCCACGACAGTTTAAAATTTACCTCACAATTACCGTTTATCCTACCATGACAGTTTATATCAATATAATATTGTAATATAAATAATATATTATTAGTTATCATATATATTATTTATCGATTATAATATTGTAATAAGGATGTAATCATGGAGCACAAGCATACGACTTTCTCTCACCTGCTGCGTTCGCCTTGGAGACGGCAGCAACGGGGCCGGATGGAGCCGAGGCAGGGGGCGCAGCCTCCACCACCGCCTGTCCATTCTGCTGCGGCCGCCCACGCACCTTACCTGTTACCACGACAACAACAACAACATCATCGTCAGTATCATCATCAGCATCGTCGTCATCCACGTAGCTTATATAAATTTGTTATTATGGACTCTTTCTTATATTCTAGCGTAATAACAATATCATGTCATCGGAAATCATCATCATCATCACTGTCATCGTCATCATCATCATCATCATCATCATCATCATCACCATCATCGTCATCAACATCAGCAATATCATCACCATCATCATCGTCATCGTCACCGTCAGCAGCATAACTTATCTGTAACTCTGACAACAACAACAACAACAAC